CAACTCCCTCTCGCAAACACAGCTTTCTATTTTCGTTTCATAAACAACAACAATCCAGTCGTTTGATGTCCATGAACTACGACCCTTCTGAGCGATGTATCGCACATAAAAAAGATGTCTGTGATGTACAGGTCATAGCGCAAAATAAATGTTGTCACTATTTTTTATTCTCCCCTTTTTCTCTGTGTTGATGTAAGCTTCCTCAGAAATGTTGTTCTTGGCATGAAGGTTTCAGTTATACCCACTTCGTCAGTTGTTTTGAACATGCATCTATAGCTAGCATACAGCTTGAATGAAACCGAAACTTTACCACTTTTTTCTCCTCTATTTTTTAAACAATCATGCTAAGGTAAATAGAGATTGCCAAACAAAACAAAACCAGAATGTTGTGTCAAAGATAATCAAAAGTCATTATCTTCTGACATGTCTGCAGCTAGAATGATTTACAACTGAAGAAAACCAGTGCCTTGATTCAAAGGAGTGATATAGCAATTAGCAGGATTAACCAAATAGCATAATACTGCAACACTTTCTCCATTGAAAAGACTCAAATAATGCCAATGAGGTATTTAAGATTTTAATAGTCAGCCATTTGACATACAGCACTGGTTTTGACTTGAATAGAGACCATCTACATATACAGTCCAAGCTTTTGAGTATCAAAATACTGCAAAGACTATATAAAAAGGGTCACTTTTCTAAAAGTAAAAAAGGCATCGAAATGCAAAATAAGGCCAAAAAAAAAAGATTACTTGGTTCTCAGGCCCGCGCGCATTTCATTTAAGGGCACCGCATTGCCGATTTTATCGTGAAAGTAATAAAAAAAAAATCGTGAATGCGCCAGCCGCCGTCTTAAAAAAATCCGGAAAATTGGTCCGCATGTCGTTTTTACTCGTTAGTCAACCAAGTCACAAAAACGTTTGAATAAAGGTAAGGATTGAGATACAGGCAAGCGTTAAAATGATTATAACTTATTAGTCTTATGTACAAATGGCGCTCATTTCGGTACAAATAAGGAATGGGGGGTTCGTGATTCTCGTCTGGAACATTGTGGGGGGATTTTCAGAGGCTTGCTCTATGATGGGTCTCTACACAACTATAAAAAGACAAGGTAATGTCCACAATGAACGTTTTACAAACTACACACTAATAAAAAAAATCGCCCTCGTCTTGTTTTTGCCATGTTAAATGAAAAAAAAAAAAAAAATGCCCTGCCGCATCTATTTTGAAAAAAAATGGCCTGAGAACCAAGTAATTAATTTTATTTGGCCTAAAATCTTTTTTTTTAAATTTCCACTTTACTGGCGTAATAATTTCGAAGCTGCTGAAAATACCTTCAAACAAAAACACTTCTTCAGGCATTTACAGTCTGCTGGAAGATAATAAAAAAAACATCCACATGACAATGGAGTCGAACACCCAATGTGACAGAAAGTACATTTCCAGATGACTGTACTGACTAGCTACCAAGAGACAAAGAAACTGCTGGCTTCTGATTGGATAAAACTGGTTACGGAATTTATTACAAAAACATGCAATTACGGATCCTAACGACACCACTTATTCAGCATGACAGAATAACCAAAGTAAGAGGGAAGACAACATACAGAGCAGGCGTCGATCTCAAACTATGTAAGATAGTGCAGTTCTAATATGACCTGACATGAATGACACAGCTTTGTTGACGTTACATGTGACCTTACATCATAGCGGAGAAACAATGCCTACAAAAGTCGAGCACGATTCCTGGGCTAACACTTGTGTTGGTAATACTGTACATATTTCCCACCCTCCCTGCGCAGTTGAAGCCCAGCTGTTGATTGGTGTGTTAATGAGACTATAAACAAACCTTGGGCACCGAGCTAATTAATGAAAACAATGCAACGTTGGCCAATCTACTGGACACCTTGCTGAGACCAGTGGGAGGCCAGTTATGTTGACTGGCAAACTTCTGACAACACAAATAACTTATGTTAGTCTAGTGTAATGAAAATAGATGGGTAGAGTTGGAGATAATTTGCGGTAATGTGAAAAATGATTATAGGGTTTATCTTGTACCCATTAACAATAGAAACGTTAGGTAACTATGACTGGGTGAATGTAAGACCTATAGACACAGTGGTCCGTAACACACATGGACAATATATCCTGAATTAACATCCATCACATATATACATACAGTGTCTGCCTTCATGCGCTATAAAATTATTAACTTTACCACTCATTTTGTGACATGAATGAAGTACACAATATAAACTAATTTAATAAGCAAAATAAAAGCGCTACGTGAAAATGGACATTATGTTGCAAGTATATTCCGCCTTTTTTTTTACAGAAACTACGTTTACAGGGTCACTGTTAAATTTAGAAATAACCTTTGGGTCATGAGGTCAAAAATCTTTCAGAAATTATTCGTTCATATATATGGCACCTGTTTTGATTTTTCTGAAACACATACTTCAAGTGAGCGGAAAGCAATTGTCCATGAAATCTCTCATTTGTCAGTCACGGTAACAAGGCACAGAGTGGAACTGGTTGAGAACAAGGTAGAAATTATGTGAGGCCGGTAAGAACCAGGTAAATGGGTTTCTTGCCTCTTCATAAGAAGCTGTACCAAATCTGCCCGGTTATCCATGAAAAAAAACATCAGCTCTTTGTGCCAAAATAACTTCTGGATAATAACACTCATCAACAACAGCCAATTAAAGGCGAGTTTGTAGTGCTTGCCTTTCAAACACTGGTGATTTTCATTTCATCCGTAAGTCTGTGTATCTTCCACGCAGATTCACTAAACGCCTGATTTATAGGTGAGCTGGAATACCGCTGGCTTTTTTGTCTAATTATTCCAGTTCAGTTCTCTGAAGTTAGTGCTACAAAAACCCCAACACAGAGAGAGTCAATCAAAATTGTTCAGTACTTTGTGCGATACATTGCTAAGGCCTCAGATCTCCCTGTGGAGTTGTGGTAAAAACTACCTCTGTGCCCACTTTTCTCATCACGTTTTTATTTCCTTGAATAATTTTGGGACGAAAATCAAAAGTTTTGCTTCATTACGAACGTTTTCCACTATTTGATGGTTAGACGTTCAAAAGTGATTCCTGTTTTTGAACCTTACCATTTCCCTCCAGCATTTGTTAAATCGGTCTGAGCTTGTGTGAGCCATCCGGTAGTCATTTATAACACTTTTGCACAGTTTTCAGTGGATGTTTGTATATAATACAGATTGTTTATAGGTAAACAACAATTAATTGCTGGTTTGAAGTCAATACAATGTTACATTAACAAGCACACAAAAACATACACAAACCACATGTAGCATCAGCTGCTGATGTAGCAAATTATAGAAAAACATTTAGAAAATCTGACAGCGAATTTCTGCTGAATATAGAAATGGAAGAATTTTTTTTGTGTTTTAAGACTTTATCCTTTGAGGTGGTGAACAGCTTTAAAAGGATGTTTACTGCCAATTTTTATTACGAAAAAAAATCCAAAAAATTATGTTCTCAATCCTATTCACAACAGAAGATATATTTAATTGCATAAATTCTCAACAAATTTCAAAAAATAAGAAGTAATTCAACTCACAAACACTTATAGGAGGTTAAACTGAACAACAAAGGGTTTATTTACAGTATAACAATATACCCAACATTTAACCATCCTCAGCCGATTGTCTGGTTAATTTTACCATGCAATAACACACAATAAGGCATAACAATTAACTATTGATTTCCTTTTATTTCTGAGTCTTAATTTTCTCTAGTAGAGCATACCCTTTTTTCTTCATATCAATTGAAACAAACAATAACATGGAGATAAATTAGCTTAATTAACCTTTGATTAGCACCACTGTCATTTCTTCTATATATATATATATATATATGTACCCGCAGATACAATAGAGTCCTGCACTTACCAACCTAATATGCCAGAATTTCTGTTGATAAATTAGAATTTGACTCCTCTCAATACTTAGGTAAACAGATACTCAAATTCTGTTACCAAGCTTTATGGAAATGTATCACAGATTTTGTGATATTTCCTATTGAACTTAAAAAGACCTGTATAGTAATTATCAACACAAAGGACAGTCAGAAAAACAAAGGGAGACCACTCTTATAAAACATGTGTAAGTTAAATATTCTGTGATGTCGAGCCATATCTCAAAGAATCCTACCATACGTAAAAGATTAATATATTGACATTCCTATGTGGGTTACTTCATTAATGTTTATCAAATTTACAAGCTTTCTCTCAATAATGTATTCTCAAACTCCACTTTTATTCAGGAGCAATGTTAACTAATATTTACAACTTGGATCAGCTCTGCAGTAAATAGACATTGAGTTAATATGGTCATTTTAAAAAAGGAATAAGTAAACCAGAAAAATATGGAAGCCTTTAAGTACCTCAAAATTTGAAGATAATTAATGACCTGAGAATGGTAAAATTTTGATTAGCCAGGTGTCTTTTTAGTATCAAATGTGTATGTCTTCCCTTTTTTTCTGTCGGTCATATACATTGCATGTGAACATTTCCTGTAATGATACTGGAATGGTTGTGTTACTTATACAGACCAGTACACCAGACAATGAAGACCTAAGGATGAGATGATCATTGGTTTGTTCATGAAGCAAGAGAACGACAACATTTTGTTCTAATAACATCCTCGCAGCAACACTAGTGTTGCATAATAGTCCTGTCCCCTTTGACCTTTGACCAATCAAGGTATAGCTGGGGCATTTGATCTCTCAAGATCTACTCTACCCCTGGTCAATTAAGGTCCGTTTGACCCTTTACTTGTCAAGGTCTTAATATTACCCATCAAGTCTTAATTACTCTGACTCTTAAACTGATTCATTTAAGTCCAGCTTTAACCTTTCATCCATTAAGGCCTTACTCTGACCCTTGACCCTTTAGGGTTTAATTCTGTTCCTTGAGCTATAAAGGTCTAAATTTGACCTTTGATACTAGATCATATGTAACTTCATGACCCTTACCTTCATGTCCTCCTGCTGGACTCGAGCTGTCCGAAGTCTGCGCTCTATATTGTCCAGCCAGATGGTCAAATCTTGGGTTTCCCTTTTGAATTGGTACCACTGAGGTGCAATAACAATCATTGACCTCCTCTTGGCATCAGCTGTGGACTTGATGGATCCCCATCGGGACTACAAGAGCAAATATGTAAGTTAGCTCTCACTCTATATTTAGGCTATAACTTTTTATTTTTTTCTCTTGAATGTCAATTAGTAATTTCTACAAACAAATTCCAGGATCAATTTCATCAAATCCTTTAGGCAAAAGTATCAGTCTTTTCATTAAAGGGGCTGGTCGGGGAACAAATTACAAAATAAATGGGTCTAAATGCGTTCTCTGGCCTTCCAAAAGTTATACTACAGCAATATGATGGTCAAGTTCTGCTTGCAATGTCCAGTTTTGACCATTGAAATATCGGGGAAGCCCCGCGTAAATTTAGCGCAGATCTATTTATATATGTCACGTGGTTGTTTCGAAAGTGAGGCAGTGAAGATAACAACAACAGCACGCCGTCATGTGCCATGTAGGACTCAACTAGCGGATAAGACAGCAATACTATACGTAAATAATTGTTTTCAAAGGTCATTTATGATGTAAGTGTAGTATTTCTACCTATATGTTGTTGTTATATATAACGATATTGATACCTCGTGCCTGTCATGACGTTTGCATGCAGCTTTTTCTTTTGCCGCAATGTTTACATTTGGCCTTGTTGATGACGCGTGTGCGGTAAAATTACATCACTGATCTGGGTCAATTGATAGTTTTAGACTGTCAGGTGACGATTGAGGATTTCTTTAATATAATTATAATTTTTACTCTTAGGGAGTGAATTTCAGCAAAATTTGAATCGGTATATTTCATAAGAAGGTATTTTTTTAAAATGTGTATGCCATTTTAGCAAATATGACATTTTTTCCCCGACCAGCACTAGTTTCATATCAATTTAGAAATTCAGAAAAAATGGAAATAATTTCATCAATCTCACAGATAACTTTCTACCCTATTAACACTCTGCATCTGAGATATTAAAGAACACTGACCATGCAATGTAACGAGATCATTTTTACCTTGAGGTCCTCTACTTGCCGGTAGATACGGATGGCCTTGTCGTGGTCAGCCAAGTCTATGGCGTGTGCCAGTTGTCTTCCTTGGTCCGACACTTTGTTAACATCTGCTTGCATCTTTTCTGTTTCCATCTCTAGTTTCTGTAGAAACAAGACAAGGTCAGGTATGAGGTCAAAGGTCAATGAAGACACCCAAAAATTCAATGCAAATAAGACAATATAAATCTTGCTACTTTACTACCTAATGTGCAAAAGAGTTCCTTACTAAAATACCCATGAAACATCTACTTGAAGGTATGGAATGATCTGGTTCAATGAATTTGAACTTTAAAAAATTTCAGATTTTGAACTAATTATTACATTATCATAATTTAGATAGTTTCTAAGGGACATAACTCTAGCACAAATCACAAATACAAAGTGAAAAGTAACATATAGCCTTAAAAAAAACTACAGCTTACATCTATACAGTCCATGTTCTTACCATGAAGCAAGCTTATGTAAGCCACTGGTCAGCGACCAGAAGATCCAATATGTAGATTCACCAGACACATTATCATCTAGTCAGTTCACATATACAGTACCCAGCCTATATACATGAGAATTGTTCACGATAGGCCCTTACTGAGCCGAACCCAATATGTGATGTGTCTGGACTGTCCAATGTATATAATTCCTGCAAACGTTTACATATAATAGCCTAACAGCCCTCCTAGTTCCCTAGGACATATAAAATATACCACACTTTTGATATGTTTGGCTGTCAATCATTGATCGCTACCAGAACCCAATGATATATATATACATATAAATAAATACTATGTGTTGATATGTCTGGCTGTCCGATAGTTGATCCCAACACATGTATAAACAGTCCGCATACTGTAAAGGTCCCAGCGTCTACGATAATGTTCTCACTTTCTGTGACCCCTGGATTTCTGTCAATTTTTTCGAGGAGGATCGGTGGAGCCCACTAAACAACCTTATCACCTGTCTTTAGAAAGTGCTGTATATTTAACACTGCTAATGACTTAATACTTGGGGGTGATTTAGGACAGCGGTCAGTAGGGAAGATAAATCCGTAAGTAAGGGATGTGTTATCACACTTGACAAACATCTCTGATGTTCATAAACAGTGGAAGTGTCCGTCCTGTTATGGACACTTTGACCGGTGTTAGGCTAGACTGACCAGTACTGTGGTCAATTTGATTTATAACGGGATACAATGATGTCCACTACATCGCAGGTTGATATCAGGTGATATATCCACTGACCTACTCCAACCATTGACAAATGACCATGTGGATTCTACCTAATATAAATGAGGAATTAAATACCTAGTTAAAAATGATAAAACAATTGTTTTTAAATATTATTTTAATAATTTTACTATCTTTTTCTCCCTTCTTATAATAAAATACAGTTTAAATATGTTTAAACTATTGAAAAATATTTTTATAAAGGTAAGGTTCCATTATTGAATATATGTCGAACACAAGGCAGGGGTAAATTTTGATGATGGTGAAAGGGAGATAACTTGTATATTTACCAAGGCTAAGTCCTGGCAGGAGGATTATTGACTGTAATAATCATTATGAAACTCATATCCATCAATATGCCATAAGCCATTTCTATATTATCCTGTGGTGTGTTTGTATTGGTTTATCAGTCAACATGACCTCCCACACAAACCCCAATATAGGGCTGGGTAAACAGCGGAATTACACACGGAATTTGTTTGTTTTGGGGAGAGATTAATTACATCACATTGGTCATAAACAGTGACATTTAGCAGTATAACAAAAATGTCAGCCTTCCTAGTCACATAGATTCCACATCAATCAGTGTAATTCTACAGCTAATTAAGTTGTGTACTCTATTAATCGCCCAGACTCCATAATTAATACTGTCTATAACAGTGTCACAGGTATTCGCACCATAAACATGTCATGGGCAATCGGTTTAAAATCATAATCTATAATCAGTTTGTAATTAAAACCAGTAAAAAGGTTCAGTGTGCCTGTAGGGGGCTAAGACACTGAAACCAACAAAGAGGTTCAATGGGCCTGTAGGGATTAAGCCACTGACACCAACTAATAGGTCTAGTTGGTCTGTCAGGGACTTGAGACACTGAAACCAACAAATAGGTTCAGTGGACCTGTAGGAATAGCTAAGACACTGACACACAAATAAAGATGTTCAGTGGACCTGTTTGGGCTAAGACACTGAAACCAACAAATAGGTTCAGTGGGCCTGTTTGGCCTAAGACACTGAAACCAGCAAATATGTTCAGTGGGCCTGTTTGGCCTAAGACACTGAAACCAACAAATAGGTTCAGTAGGCCTGTTTGGGGCTAAGACACTGAAACCAGCAAATATGTTCAGTGGGCCTGTTTGGGCTAAGACACCGAAACCAACAAATAGGTTCAGTGGGCCTGTTTGGGCTAAGACACTGAAACCAACAAAGAACGTCAGTTAGCCTGTAGGGGCCAAAGGCACTGACACCAATAATGAAGTTCAGTTAGCCAGTTTGAAGAGCTAAGACACTGAAACCAACAAAAAAATTCAGTGGGTCTTTAGGGGGCTAAAACATTAAAACCAATAAATAGGTCCGGTCCAGTGGGCCTTTAGGGGGCTAAGATACTGAAACCAACAAATAGGTAAAGAGGGCCTGTTGAACACTTAACCCATCAAAAAGTTTCAGCAGGCCAGAACATAAATGTACAAAATCAAAAAGATAATCTATGTAGAAACCAGTGAAGATACATTACTTAACCTTATCTTGATTTGAACATAAACTATTACCCTTCCTGAAACAAAATTATATCACCAAGAAATGCATATCAGTTACTCCAAGATAAAGGATGAATACAAAGTTGTTCAAAGCAACCATAAGAAAAGAAAACAAGAAGAGGGGATTAAATGGATTGACCTGGACACCTCAGGATAATTGGTAATACAGAGGTTGAGGTCAGGATAACTGGTAATAAATATGACAGAGGTTGAGGTCAGGATAATTGGTAATATGACAGAGGTTGAGGTGAGGATAACTGGTAATATGACAGAGGTTGACGTCAGGATAACTGGTAATATGACATAGGTTGAGGCCAGGAAAACTGGTAATATTACAGAGGTTGAGGTCAGGATAACTGGCAATAAATATGACAGAGGATGAGGACAGGATAACTGGTAATACATATGACAGAGGTTGAGGTCAGGGTAACTGGTAATAAATATGACAGAGGGTGAGGTCAGGATAACTGGTAATAAATATGCCAGAGGTTGAGGTCAGGATAACTGGTAATATGACAGAGGTTGAGGCCAGGAAAACTGGTAATATGACAGAGGTTGAGGTCAGGATAACTGGTAATAAATATGACAGAGGTTGAGGCCAGGAAAACTGGTAATATGACAGAGGTTGAGGTCAGGATAACTGGTAATATGTCAGAGGTTGAGGTCAGGATAACTGGTAATATGACAGAGGTTGAGGTCGGGAAAACTGGTAATATGACAGGGGTTGAGGTCAGGATAACTGGTAATATGCCAGAGATTGAGGTCAGGATAATTGGTAATATGACAGACGTTGAGGTCAGGATAGCTGGTAATATGACAGGGGTCGAGGTCAGGATAACTGGGAATATGACAGGGGTTGAGGGCAGGATAACTGGGAATATGACAGGGGTTGAGTTCAGGATAACTGGTAGTATGACAGAGGTTGAGATCAGGATAACTGGTAGTATGACAGAGGTTGAGATCAGGATAACTGGTAGTATGACAGAGGTTGAGGGCAGGATAACTGGGAATATGACAGAGGTTGATGTCAGGATAGCTGGTAATATGACAGGGGTTGAGTTCAGGATAACTGGTAATATGACAGAGGTTGAGGTCAGGATAACTGATAATAAATATGACAGAGGTTAAGGTCAGGATAACTGGTAATAAATATGACAGAGGTAATTGAGGTCAGGATTACTGGTAATATGACAGAGGTTGAGGTCAGGATAACTGGTAATAAATATGACAGAGGTTGAGGTCAGGAAAACTGGTAATAAATATGACAGAGGTTGAGGTCAGGAAAACTGGTAATAAATATGACAGAGGTTGAGGTCAGGATAACTGGTAATATGACAGAGGTTGAGCAAGTTATTGTCATGGTTCCTGTTTTTTCACTTGTCTAAAAAATTTGCAGACAACTATTATTTGTGACCTTGGTTTTAAAGCATAAACACTACAAAATAGAAAGTATTTTGGCAGTTCCTTCCTTGGAACCATTTAACTTTTCAAGACAAAAGCAAGCACCAGTATAGTGACTATCTATACGGGTGTAAACATCCACCAGCCCCCGCCACACAGCTGTGGTTTTCTTATTCAGGGGAGCAGGATGTATTGGGTGTACACGATCAGTGATAGTATATTTTCATACAGAGAAAATGTTTGTAGATGTAAAAGCCCCGAACTCAAGGGTACGTCTGTGGATTCAACTAAGGGAATTAAGACACTAGAATCACTGATTCACAGCACCAGTACAGCAGAGAAGACATACAACATGCATTTCAGAATAAGAAAATAAATCAATTTGGTAACCCCAGGAAATGTGTTCATGGTCAACAAGAAATATATAATGGGTAAAAACTTAAATGTTTATTAGAATAACCGAAACCAAAATTCACCATTTTGAACAAGCGGTCACATGTCTTTTGCCATGATATCTGTTAGAGAATGTATACAAATACTTCACAACATTGAAACAGTATAGTGCATTCATATGGTCTGTATTGACAAACACCTATACATAAAATTGTAACATAACAATACTTAGTTCACTTCACATCAAAATACTTATAATTCAGTGAAGGGATATTGTCCAAGCTGATAAGTCCTAATTGTCCCTTGTAGATGCAAATGATATCAATATTCAGGTTGAAGACCAAAATTAACTGTCACTTGAGTAAAATTAAAACCTGCATGAAACCAGTAAATCGTTCATATCATATCCTTTTTGTACCAGATGTATCTCCCCTTGTTTACCAGAGTTATCCATGATTGATACTGAGTATTCTCCAATGAACAGATTACCTCCCTTGTTACATTTGAGTTACCCACCCTTGAAATATATCCTCAAATTTTCTGCCTAAGGTGTACTAGAATACGTCTTCACTGATCACCAGTTTTCTTACTTGAACACTCAGTTCCTTTACTGCTGTAACAGTTATTCCACCTTGAATTTCCTTAATGAAGCCGATATATCCACCTTACAACCTGACCTAGCCTCCAACACCCTACCCTATAACCACTTTATACTCACCGCTGCGTTGTCTTCCAGTTTGCCAATAACATCAGATTGCTGAATTTCCCCTTTACACACAACACTGTTGTCGAAAAGGACCACATCCTTGAGAACGCTGTCATACAGCATCTGAAACTCGTCGTCGGTCATCACAGGACCAATATATCTATCTGGGGTCAAAGGTGACAACCTTTGCACTCTGTCTGGTGACCTTAGGTCCCTATCAGGTGACCTAAAGTCACGGTCTGGGGACTTGGTCAATAATCTCAGCTCTCTATCTGGCGACACAAGGTCACGGCTGGGTGATGGTGTAGAGAGTCTGTCTGGAGATTTTAACTCCCGCGTTGGTGACCTTGAGCTGAGGTCACGGCTGGGAGATTTCATAATCCTTTCAGGAGATTTATAAGATCTTTCCACCGAAACTTGTTCCATTGTCTCTGGTACAACCTCCTCTGGTTTATCTTCATTAGATGAAGATGTGAAAGTTGATGAGGATGAAGATGACACCTTGGTAACTGTGGTCTTGGTTATTTCAACAATAGTCTCTGTCACTTGGTATGTCTGTTTTGCCTGTGAAATAAATCAAGTAATGATTACATTCTTTAATATTGAACAATAGTTTTAGCCATCACTGATTTTTTTTTTTTTTTTTACATAAATGTGTTTTTAAAGTATCCACTTTAGAAAAACTTTGACCTTGACTTTTATACTGACCTTGACCTTGCTGGTGAGTTCCTCCCAGCGCTGGTTAAGATGGGTGAGTTCTGGCTCCACCATACTGTTGTAGCGGTCACTCTTGTTCATCAGCTGTATGGCTGTGTCCCGAACCTCGTCCACCTGACTGGCGTACTCATTAAGCTCTACCTGTAAATTCTGAAAAGGAAAAGTATAACTTCAATTTATCATGGAAATGTTTGAAAATATTCACTATACCTGCTTATTCCTCATTGATCTTTAATAAAGAAAGAGTATGAACCTTTTCAAGATAAAATCTAATACATACTTAACTGCATTTCTAAATTTAAACTAATATTTGTAAAACAAATGTAAGCAATTTTTTTTTCGAACTGCAAGGACTTGTGTCGTCTGCATACCTTTTATTTTGATGAGTTTTTTAAAAGCTTTTTCAGGAACTAAATATCTACTGTACAGAAAACTGACAAAACCTCATACACATGAAGTAATGTAGAAAAATATATATACCAAATGTAGTGTAAACCCAGTACATTCTGACGAAACCTTAAACTAATATGACACAAAGAGAAACATCAGAAATTGAAATGACACCAACAAATCTGTAAAGTTTAAGATATGATGATTAACCCCACAAGGTAGTGTGAGTGACAGAAGGTGCCGTGGAGAGGTAGCATTGATAAAACAAAAACCCTGGTATACTAGACCTTATATTAAAGAAACTTAAATCTTAGATGTGAAATGTCTGCATAAATTGTTTATCCATCTAAGAATGTTCTCTTCTACTATATGACCAACCCTGAATCCTTTCCTTTACCTTGATCTTATCACGCTGTAGCTCAGAGGCCTGCTGCTGTACAGGTAGTTTCTCATGGTCCTCTAACACCCCCTCCGTCCTGGCCAGACAGTCCTTGACCTTCATCAAGGAAATTTGGAATTCTACAAATAGAGTCTCAAGGTCAGATAGCTCCTTTTGGAGTTGTTCCCGTCGGGCAGCAAGACGGAGGGTCAGCTGTGACCACTTCTCACTCAGATCGTCTAGTGTGGTCTGGGCCTCGGTGAGTGGCTCTTCTGCGTAGGATGCCAACTGGTTGAGGAGGTCGCGCATGCTGGACAGCATAGTCTGGCGCTTCTGCATCTCCTCTTGTACACTCTGTCAAGTAGACACCGAATCAATTCAGTACTAAAACTTTTAAAGATTTCCTCACTCCCAAGTTATGGTTAATGTCACTCGTAATCTTACAATGTAAAATATCGTCTCACAGAATTACACCATCTGTTTTCTTATTTTTGTGTTATTTTAAAAGCCAAGCATTCAACTCAAACCTATTGATTTTGGTTTATGTTCCCTTTGTTCAATTTATTCTCAAGCATACTTATCAATTTAAATCACTTCTGTTGACCAAGCAGGACGTCAGTTAGAGCAGCAGTATATCAATCTGAAGTCCTGGGTTTGAATCTCATTCTAGCCCCACTTATTATTTTTCTAATTCAAAACACTGTTGTTGATCATATTTTGTTTATCTCATCTTTGTCATTTCACATAGTAGGGAGCAAGGTATAGCTTTCTTTTCAGAAATGATTTATCAAAGTTATAGTCATGTCAAATAAAACAGTTCTAACACTATCTCACAGTTTTTGGTAGTGGTACGGGGATCTTAAACCCTTTCACCACTGTAGACCATAATAGACTCATCCATATCAATGTGTGGTAGAGTCTACTTAAGTTACATAGGGGTGAAAGGGTTACACAAAATATGTATAGAAATATTTCTACATCTCACCTGTACGTAATTGAGGTCAGTGTCCACGTTCCGACTAGCACCAACTCCAGCTCGATTGTCCAGCTCGTCGCTGACCGAAACCAAGAATTCATTGACTGTGGTCACCTCCTTCTTCAGTTTCCTGGCCAGTTTTAGGGACTTGTCCAGACCATTCTTGCCCTTGGTCACCTGAAATAAGCAAGCCAGTCAATCTCCTATCAGTAAACAGTCTACAACGCGCTCCATTAACTACTAGTTTACAAAAAAAATGTTCCTTAAATATTCACTGCTTTCATGAATATGTATTGAAACAGTCAAGCCTCCTATCTATTCAATTTTAAATATATATGTGTGCAGACTGACTAAATTTTCATTATTTGTGAAATATAAGGCTTAAGCCAATTACAGAGTGGCATCTCATATCAAACACTGTAACAGTAGAAATATTGTTTGCATTATGACTTAACATGATGTGGGAACATTGTCACATTGGTAATGGTTTAGAATCTATATATTCATAATCTGAATAATACATTAATAAATATTTCCATGACGATATTTTCGCACACGTTAACACAACACCAAAGTATGAACATTTCCATTTTAACAGTACCCAGAGACAACAGCCTTTAACATGTGACTGACCAGTACCCAGAGACAACATGTGACTGACCAGTACCCAGAGACAACATGTGACTGACCAGTACCCAGAGACAACATGTGACTGATCAGTACCCAGAGACAACATGTGACTGACCAGTACCCAGAGACAACATGTGACTGACTAGATTTCCGTCAACTCAGTGACATGTTTGTCGTCTGTAAATAAAATACTGTTTGCTCTCCTTCAAAATAACTGCAAATTCCCCTCCTTCATCCCGAGATACAGCTTCGAACATCATATGTTGGTAGATAAGCCAACACAAAGCAAATATTATGTTTTCTTATCTATAATTATACCACATCTATAGAACTCTTCAAACTTAATGAAAAAACACCAATCATCATCCCATTCTTTGTCAATAGAAAGTGAAAACGTGCTGAATTTGTGCGAAACATGAGAAATAAAAGTAAATATACCAGTATAATCAAGTATTGATATAAATGTCCCATTTGTTAATAATATTTTGAAATAGACATTAATTGATCCTAACTTTTTCCTGCCATGAGGACCGTTTATTGATCAGTTGCCATGGAGATGCCCTACCTGGGAGCCAAGGTCGTTGTACTGCTGTTTTATTGCGTCTAACTGTTTGTTCAGTTTATCGGGAAACTCCACTTGTTTCTTGTCCACAATCTGTCGTCCAGTTTTGATGACGTATTCCACCTCGGTCTTAAGGTCACTCATCATACGGTAGAATTTCTGTACAAGTGATAAAACTTTCATCAGACACAAATGTATCCTGTCTACATCAAATTAAAAATGATACACAACCCGGCCTGCTTTAAAATAGACAACTTTTCAGATTACACAGGTTCAATATATAGATTTAGATAGGATTTGAGATCTAGATTAAACAGGTACCTGACCTGTGGACAGTTCTGTCAAAGAAGTAAAACCTTGATACCTTGGTTAAACAGAGATGCACAAAGCTTCCTCCTGACAAAATATCCCTGTATATTGGGTTTGGGGGGTTGATTTCCTACTACAAATAACACAACACGGATATAAATTTGTACATCTAATATTGATTAAATATTAGAGTTAAATGAGTTAATGTTGAAGTTTTACATTTTATAAGTAAGAAAATTCTATAGTCTATCAGGGAAGGGGTTGTCTCAAAAATATGAATTTGGGAGGGAATGGGTCGGTAAAAGGGGTAACTTGCTACCATTACATCATATTTATCAATCACAATTCTGTTTTCTTCAATGTATTGCAAGACCTGTTTATCACGCTAAATTATTGCTAGACAAATGGTAGAATTAATAATCAGGTTTGACTCGTATTGTAAAATAAATAAATAACGAACCACAGTGGGCCTCAGGATCAAGTTTCCCGTACTTATTCTTTGATTTCAGTATCTTACCATACACTGGTCATGCTTGGCTTGCAGAACTTCAGGGTCCTCGGTCTGGATTTCCAACAAATGTATCCTCTCCCCAATACTGCTCAAGTCTCTTTTGACTCTATTCAATTTCGGCTCAAAGTCTGTTGGTCGTTGAAACTTACGAAATATTGCTGTCACATCTACGAAATGTTCCTGAAATAAACAAAACATCATTGTTAAAAATACCCAAAAATGGAATGAAAAATTAAGAGTTGATGTTTAGAATGGTAACTAATTGAATCCGTTGTATGGTTCTTACCTGAAAGGCTGAAAACATGTTCCATATCTACCATTTGAATGGGTTTTTTTCAGACTATAGAATGGGATAGAAAGAAAAAAAGGTTTATCGTACCGAAAAATCAAAGACTGGGCAATAATAACTGATGAAGGGAGTGGTAGACTGCCTTATTCTGGTTCTTGAGAGGGAGGGGAGAGAGAGAAAGTTTGGTACATTTCAATAGGAACTTAATTAAGGACAAAAAAGATAAGGGGCTGAAGACTTATCCATCTTAAGTGCTTCAGACATGCCCTGCACTCTAGTTCACTATGGAATTCATAGTTCTGGGTATGGTGAAGGTTGGGAAAGGTGAGGAGACTTTTCTAGTTTGAGGATATTTATCTTGTTCTGTAAACATGCCCTGCCCTCTAGTTCACCCTGGACCTCATAGCTCTGGGCCTGGGAACGGTGAGGGATGAGAAGGCTAGGAAGACTTAGACATGCCCTGGCCTTCACTATAGGTTATCACTTACTTTATAGGTCAGGGCCTGCTTCTGGTAAGGGACAGGTAAGGGTTGGAAAGTTATCTACTTTGTGGATATCTATCTGTGGAGAGTTATCTACCTTGAGGATATCTATCTGTGGAGAGTTATCTACCTTGAGGATATCTATCTGTGGAGATGTGGAGAGTAATCTACCTTGAGGATATCTATCTGTGGAGAGTTATCTACCTTGAGGATATCTATCTGTGGAGAGTTATCTACCTTGAGGATATCTATCTGTATCTGCAGACGCTCGCTGCCCTCTATATTGCCCTGGGCTTTGTAGGTCTGGACTTGCTGCTCTAGCTCTCCTATCAAATCCTGCTGCTGTTTAAACTCTTCCTTCAGAGACTAAAATAGAAAATATATATTACTTATATAGAAAACATCTGTCTCTGTCAGGAACTGTAGTCTGAAACACAAAGACATAAAAAATCCCAAATCTTAATAACCAATCTTTTTATAAATATATTAGTATTAAAGTCAGCTTAGGCATTTTTTATATCATCAGAATCTTAAGATTAATTATATTCTTCTGCATAGAAATCAAGCAACAAAGGATCTTTTTATTAATCTATGACATTAATTTTAGTTTAAATGTAGGTGCTGATAAACTTTCTTCTATCGTTTAACTCATTCACCCCTGAAGACACATTTGAACCCTTCCAATTCAAAGGTTGGAATAGTTCATTATTTAACTTCAGGGATGAATGAGTTAAAACATTATTGCTGACCCTAATCAAATTTTTGTAAAATTCATCTGAGAAGTTTTCTGGTTGATTAAATATCTTGTACACTTAAACTCTGTAAACAAACCTCGTACTCCTCTGGTACATCCCCAGCCAGGACGTCAGCATCGAGGCGTGACTTGATCAGACCGCTAACGTCATTCATCCATTGAGACATTTCGAGGATCTGTCTCTCCATCGTCTGTGCCTGATTTATGGACTGTTCCAGGTTGTGGATTCTCTCCCTTGCCTATAATCACAACGATAATCAAAATTAATTATCTACATAGAGGTGCAATAGTAATATGCCCATTTTTTCAGGAAACATGAATGATTCAATTAACCTAATAACGTTACATTTCCTCAGTCACATAACTATATTTTGACTTTTTTGTGGTTTACCTGACAGTCCAGGAGGTTCCATTTCTTGGAATACTCTTCCATCTCGTCCTTGATGGCGTCGGACATGATGGAGTTCCCGATCAACTCCTGACCTAGGTCCTGAAGCCGCGCCTTACGGTCACTGTTGTGTTCCCTCAGACTCATTTCAATACCCTAGGGATGGAAATTACATTAATGGGACGTAAATCTTAAACTATTAAATGTCTTTCAGACATGAATGCCCATATTCACCCACCCCCAAACAAACTAGTGTTACTGCATGGTCACTGCTTGACAGACTTCTATAAAAAGTAACGATGACCTTTACTCTGAACTAGAAACTCATTCAAAGTCTTCTCAACCTTGACTTATGTATAAAGTATGATCAAAATCTATTAAGAAATGTAGTTGCTAGTGGTTTGACCGAATTAATGGTTGATAAATTCCTATAAACAGCTACGATGACCTTGACCTTGGAAATCTACGAAAAACAAAGTCATTCAAAGTTTTCTCATCCTTTGCCTTTGTATAAAGTTTGATTAAAAAACTTTTGAAAATATAGTCCTTTGAGAGATGACAGAACAAGACAGGAGGTGAAAGACCAGTAATGCTAAATGCCCTCCCTTAAAATAGTGTGCATAACAAAGTTGAGTTTCTATTGGCTGAAAACCCCAATATATAAGTACTTATTGGCAAAGTTCAAAATACCTGTTTTTGCAAAATTGAAAGGTCTAGCAAAAAATAACCAGTTATATATAATCTACATTACAGCATTTAAAGGGCCTTACATCCAAATCTTCAGAAATCTCTTCAGCGTCAGAACTTGCAACTCTTGACCTTTTCAGCTTGGCTTCCAGGGACATGAACTGTCTCTTCTCGTCATCCTGAAGGCCTGAAATATCAATAAGAGACGAGCAAGATAACACAACTTCCACTGCTCGGTATTCTCAATTCGAAAAAAATCACCTTTTTATAAGTAAACAAGACCTCTGCCTATGTGCTAATTGTGTAATTATGCACTTATTGCCCTCTCTGCGTTTATCACTTGTCTATCTAAAATATAACTTTCACTGTATATTTACATTAGATACAGTGGCGTAACAATTTATAGTACAGGAAGAAAGTTTGAATTGAAAATGAAGAACTGCAAAATGAAGTACCCCTTCTATAATTTGTTTACATCTGATACTGTCCTCCACGATGACCCCTGTGATATTGACCTTTTCAGTGTCTCTGCTGTGCATCAGATTTTTGTGTAATGATCGACCCCTGTGATACTGATCTTTGAACTGTTTCCACTGTGAGTCTGACCTATGTAATGACCCCTGTGATACAGACCTTTGAACTGTTTCCATTTTGAGACTGACCTATGTAATGACCCCTGTGAAACTGACCTTTGAACTGTTTCCACTGTGAGTCAGAGGAGGCAAACAGCTGTGAATAGTGGTCCACTCTGTTGTAGACATCTGTCCAAAGTGCATTCATCCTCATCAGGGCGCGGGCCAGGTCCTGAAGTGACCCTGGTGGAGCCTTGTTCAGCATCTCGTTTGCCTCCTCATTCACCTTATTTACTTCTTCCTCCTTACTTGACACATCAGTCTTGAGGTACTGGAGGTTATAAAGGGTGACAATAAATACATATTATGATATTTTTAACAAATAGAAATATTCTTAAATGGTCCCCCCCCCCCCCCCTAAATTTAATCAAACTGATATCTGCATGTAAATCAGCCAAAATATAAGCATATTCTAACATTAAAACTGCTACAAAGGAATATTAACCATGAAATTTCTCTGTTAATATGCACGAAATACAAAATATCTGGGCCAGTCACGCACCAAGAAAAAATAATCTAAGCCAAGGACTGTTAAAAAGAATAAGACAGTAGAGATTTGTATTCATTACTCCATAAACTATGTCCCCACATACCTTAAATTTCTTTGTTTTGACAAGAAGATCATTTGCATTGTTGACAGCGTAATCCTTGTTAGAGAGGTCTTCTTTCATTGGCTCCAGCCAGTCCGTGAGCACCTTGATTCGGTCGTGGATGTCCTGACTTGAGCTCAGCGCCACCTTCAGGCGACTGTTTTGTTCCTCCGCCAGACTCACAGTTTTATTCCACTTTTCGTTGACAGTTTTGACGTCTGTTGTCATTTTGTCTCCGAACTGAGGGTTGATGTTGTCAGACAACTGATTGTGGAGCTCACTGATACTGTTGATGTTCTGTTGTAGTGTCTTGATGTCTTCCAAAACACTCTGGTAAAACACAACAATGTCGGCACATTAAGTTCAACACTGAAACCCGACGTAACGGACACCTGACCTTACCAATACCTAATATTTCTTTACTGACACCTGACTATACTGACACAAGACTTCACTAACCAGACTTTACTGACACAAGACTTTACTAACCAGACTTTACTGACACAAGACTTCACTAACCAGATTTTACTGACACAAGACTTTACCAACCAGATTTTACTGACACAAGACTTTACCAACCAGACTTTACTGACACCTGACCTAACCGATACCTAATATTTCTTTACTGAAACCCATCTTTACTGACAAAAAACTTTACTAACCAGACTTAACTGACACAAGACTTTACTTACCACTTTACTGACACCTGATTTTATACTGACACCGACTTTACAGTCACCTGATTTTTCCAACACCTGGCTTTATCGACACCTGATCTTTCTGACACCTAGCTGACTTTACAAAAACCTGATTTTTCCAACACCTGGCTTTACCAACACCTGACTTAACAATTGCCTGATTTTACCAACACATGATTTTACCAACACATGATTTTACCGACACCTGACTTTACAAACACCTGAGTGTATCAACACCTGACTATATTGACACCTGACTTCACTGACACCTGCCTTTACCAACACCTGACTTTTACCAACACCTGACTTTTACTGACACCTGACTTTTACCAATACCTGGCTTTACAAACACCTGATTTTATCAACACCTGACTATACTGACACCTGAGTTTACCAAAACCTGACAATAATGACACCTGACTTTTAGGGCAACTTGTAATACCTGAAATGCTGTATGGCCCCAAAGGACTGGTTACTTAAGTCTTCAATCCTCCCTCCAACAACATCCTAAACATACTTATATTTCACAGAGGTTTCCCTTTCACAAGGATCACACCCTGAAAGAAACCTCACTCAGCTGCCATCCTGTCATAGAGGCTTACTTAGGACTCTAAACTAACAGCTTTACGTAAAATTCAATTCCTGTGAATTTGTTCCAAGAACAGCTCCCTTAGTTTTAATGCTACATGCATTATGACATTTTCTAGTTAAGCCAATCACTATATTGTTTAGTTGTAAGAGCTAGGGATTAAAATAAACAAATATGTTATACCCCACCACCCTAAAACTGTTTAAGCAGGAAGGGGAAATTATCAATATTGAATAAATGTTCACATTAAAAATGATTTTTATGAAACAAAATTGGGAGGATTTCAAAAAGTTCAGAAGTAATTGAAAAACAAATGGAATTCTATTTCACTTATATTCAAACAAAACATGTACATTTGCATATTTTGTTAATATTCAGATCGTAAACACCACAGGTTTGCCTCTGCTGTGAATTTGTGATGTCACTGATTTCTTACTCGTGACATTACTATGGGTGAAAATACATATCAAAATTGTATGTGATGATCTTATTACACAGCAAAGCAACCTGTGTAGATGATAACAGACACTCTAAGGACATCGGACATGTATGTAATGTTAGCAAGGGCTCATCCACACTGAAATTTGACTTAAAAAAATTTGTGATAATTATCATCTGGAATATATCACTTTAATTCTTCTTTCTGTTCACAGCAAGATGAATATCTTTCATATTTTTACTTTACCTGATGCCATTGTATACAAGGCCTCCAACCAAAGGTTCAAAATTCTAATCTTTAAATATATTTTCCATGAAATACCTTTTACCTGTATACAGAAATCTATTGTCTCACTATATACAGATTCTTGACTTGTCAAACATATATATAAGTTTACATGTACTTACCATAACACCGATTAGTCAGTCCCGGAATGTTATCTTACCTTTTTCTGCACCTGTATTGATACAAGATGACCTCTGACACATGTTTATGACTAGCTGCTTTTTTCTAAAATATTGTTTCTTCCTAGTCATCACAATGTTTACAGCCACACTTAAAAACAAGGAACCCTAAATACTCACCTTGCGAATCTCACGAACACTTCAATGTTGAGGTGTCCAGACTTATATACTTTTCAATGGTCTTGGAACAAGCTGAGGTGTCCAGACTTACTTATCCCTGACAGTGGTCCTGTTTGCCACTATTTTCACAAGTACACCACCCATACAGTCTGATGCTATATGTCCTGCATCTACCTGACCAAATGTATACCTGTTACCACAACCACTCCTACGCCACAGGTACATATCCCAGACCTCCGTAAAACTCAGCAAAATCTCAGCCCAGAAACAAAACACTACTTGCAAAAAAATCAACAAAGGCAAAGCACCTAGCACCTGGACAGATTAGTTCAGTGTCGTGGTAGTGGAGTGTATACCTGTGTTTTACGAGAAATGTGCTGTCTCACACAGTGCTGGGCATTAGTGGTAGTATTATACGGTATTTCCCAGGATCTACAGCCTGTAATTATTGGATAGTTCTTTTTTCAAGTTCAGTCTAGGGTGGAGTTGATTGGGAGGGTTAACTTATCACTGGGACAGCAGGAAGGATGGAAAACATATTTACATCCTTACTTCAAACTAAGAAAGATTTTATTTTTTTTAAACTTCAATCTTAGGTAGAATGTGGGAGGATGGTATAGGGCTAAAGAAGAAAGAAGGTAAAAAGGAAGACATTTTGACTTGAAACTTCAGTTTTAGGTAGAGCTACAGAGGAAAGTAATGCTAAGACCGAGAAAGTAGGAAGACATGATTTACTTAAAATTTAGTCTTTATATAGTGCCCTGTAGTGGTGTAGGCTAAAAGGAACAAAGGAAATGAAAAACAGGGTGGGCGGGGCGAAAGATACAGTTATTTGGTAGACAGTTCAAATTGGAATTGAGCATTGTAGTTGTGAAGGCAAGGGTTGAGAATGAGAGATGGATTCCAGAGATAGGAAAAGCTGAGTCTGTGCAGAAAAAAAGAAGTGAATGGGAGATAAAAAATATACCATAATCTTGTAGAAAAACAATAAAGTGAAGAATAAAGATAATGAAAAGTCACATGTAAGAATCTGGCAGTGTCAGATAAAATTTCTCTAGTTCTGAATATAAATCTTTTAAAAAATGTCTGAGGTTTCCCTGTAGCTATGGGAAACTATATTTATAAACACAAATACAAACCACAACTGTCTATATTACTATAAAATCAGGCTATCTAGTCAGGCAGGTTTTAGTGGCAGGGGAGTGGAAAAATAAACAAGAGGCCCAAGGGCCTTAGCGGTCACCTGAGTTATATCATAGATACTGGTAGCTTTATTTTATTGTTTAGATGTGATGTGGAAATCAGCATGTAAACTAAGTGAAATACAATACTTGTCATGTCATCAATGGATAAGAATTTGAAAATATTGGTAAATGTTCCCTTTGGGGCCCCGCCCTAGCCCCTGGGGATGGGGCAGGAATCCTAATTTTACAAAGTAAAACTCTCATTTACCCAAGATGATTCTGACTAAGTTTGAGCAATTTTCTGCTGAAAATGGATAAAATATATACCGAAAAGTGTTATTTCCCTATAT